TTAATTTCAATAGTCTACTCATTTATTAATTATATTTCCCTCAGTTTACAGTGCATTTCACCTACCTCCTATTTGTCCACCTAAATCCTATCATGTGTCCTTTACTTTCTCTAAAAAATTCCCTAATCCTGTAAATTGAACTTTCCTCTTCTGAAAATTTCTTTGAATTTGTAAACAACGCTCATTTGACTCTTGACTGTTTTGTATTTTAAATATAACATAGATTTTTATCTCCACAACTAAATCACCCCTGAAAACAAACATGCTGAAAACAGTACCTTGCACATAACAAATGCAGACATAACCTGCTCTCACAAACTAAACTGGAAAGTTAAGGGGATAAATAGAGTAACAAGTATTTGTTAAGGTGAAAAATGAAGGGGTAAATCCTAAACAGCTCAGTCACCTTAGTCCAGTCTTTTTTTTTTTTTTTTTTTGAGATGGAGTCTCGCTGTGTGCACTGTAATGCAGTGGTGCGATCTCGTCTCACTGCCTCTGTCTCCCGGGTTCAAGCAATTCTCCTGCCTCAGCCTCCTGAGTGCCTGGGATTACAGGCGTGTGCCACCACGCCCAGCTAATTTTTTGTATTTGTAGTAGAGATAGGGTTTTACTATGTTGGTGAGGCTGGTCTTGAACTCCTGACCTCGTGATTCACCTGCCTCAGCCTCCGAAAGTGCTGGGATTACAGGCATGAGCCACCATGCCCAGCCTAGTCCGTTCTTAGAAGATTTCTATCAACTGATTTCTATCAACACTTACAAACTCCTGCAGGGAATCCAAAAAACTCCTTCCCTCCCCTTATTCACCATACCAATCTATCCAGCAGGCCCCTAGAACTGATGGAGTCTGCAGCCACTGGGGAATATATTTTATACCTGCCAGAATCAAGACCATCCTTCACTTATATTTCATCACTCTTCTTCAAAGTCTCTTTATCATTACTAATCTGCAATTGTTATCACAATCAATTTACTATGTGTTTAGATGAATATGCCTATTTTTAAAGTTTCAAAATATATTTGGTTTCTCCTATACAATTTTTTTTTTTTTTTTTTGAGAC